TATATATATATATATATATATATAATATCTATATCTATATATATATATTATATATATATTATATCTATATATACTATAGAGTATCTATATTGTATAAAGTATGTACACTAGAGATGCTGCAGCTGGATTTGAATATCTGAGAGTTTTTAGTGAGATGTACAGAGATCGCTGTGTATAAACAATAATAAAGAACGTAAACATTAACTAAAATAAATAAAAAGATAAATAAATAAATAAAATAAAATAAAAATAAATAAATGAGTTAATTAAATAACTGAAAATCTTCGGGCAGCAATTTTTTCGTCTGTTTACATCGTACTGCGCCATGAGAATAAATAAAACAAATTTACAAACTGAAGATGTAATTAATTATTTAATTATTTATTATTTATTATTTATTTTATTTTTTTGTTTATTTTCTTTTTCTTCACTTCTTTGTTGCTTTTTTTTTCTTTTGCGTTGCTCTCTTTACATTCAAGCTTCAGGTGTATGCGCACCTGTAAGTACAACAGTTATTATATAATAAATAATAACTAATATAATTATAATATAATAATAACAATAATAATGAATATATATATATATATATAGGCGTTACAACCAGCAGCAATAAAAAGAAAAAAGAATTTACTCTTAATTAATGAATATAATATATAATTTAAACAAAACAGAGCAACGCGCGGTGTACATACACCTCCAAGGGTTGAGCGAGCGCTTGTATCTTGCTATATATAAATATATAAGTGTAAATAAATATATTTAAATATACATGTATATGTAAATATAAATAATTATATCTTTACGCTATTATTTTTATTGTAGGGTGTATATACACCGCAGCATATAAACGTAACAACTAAACATGCATATATAAACACATATATACATATATACATATAATATACAAATATATATATACATCTATAATATATATATGTATATATACATCTATATACATATATATGTATATACATATATACATACATTATCTATATATACATGCATCTACAAATATATACATACAACTATACATACATATACATATATACATCTACACATATAAACATATATATATATATTTATATATAAATAAATAAATATATATATATAGAAATACATACAACTATATATACATATACTTATCTACACATATAAATATACATATATACACATACATATACATATAATATATATATATTATATATATTATATATATACATATATATATTATATACATCTATACATACTTTGTAAACAACACAAGCATAAACTCACAATCACTGTTTGTTGAAACGACAGAAAAGAAATGCAGTTAAAAAAAATAAAATAAATAAATTTAATATTAATATAAACACAAATAATATTAATATCCATCTTCATTAATAAGCATACAATAAAAGCAAATATAAAA